ATTTGCGTAATTTCCCAGACCATAAAAACTTCTAAGAAAGGTGTAAGGATGACCACGGGTTTTTGCCAACCAGTAAAACGCAGCTCAAGGGTTCGAGTAGAAAGTTGACCTTTAATTAATAACTACCCATTTCCAAATTTTTGACTACGCATATATTATCTGCCTACCTACTAATTGCAAAAAAACCGCTGCATAAAAATTACATGTGGTGGTATCTATACAATATAAACTTTACCTTTCGAAATAACGTATTACGTTCAGTCTGTAATCACATACCCATCAGATAATAAAAATACTTATTCAATATAACCCTGACAACAGCCTGCGAAACCGTTTTAATCCGGCCCTGAGAGTTACCCGCTGCTAATATGGCGTCGCGATTCGTGAAACGTCATCAAATTCGGCAGAGTCGGCGTTCTGGTTGATTTCTATTTTGTGAGTATACCATTTTTACAGATAATAAATAATAAAACTATTTCTGACTATCATATTTAAAATTTAGATAGATAGAATATTAAAAAACATACCGGTATTGGCAGACGCAGACCCAAATTCAATAAAAACCAAAATTTTTCCTGCGAAAATCGGGCTTTTTTCACAGAAAAGGTATTTTTTCATTTATCAACAATCATTGTCAAGTTGACAATATACAGGGTGTTTTCTAATTAGTCTAAAAAATTGTGGTGTGATTCCTCATGTGTTCTTAAAACAATTTTTATATAACCATTAGGTCTAAAGTACTTCCTTTCTGATCTACAGGGTGTTAAAAATTAAAAAAAAATCGATATTTTGCTTAACATAAATGGTACACTACTGCTTTTTTAAAGAAAAAACTATTTTTCTTGACTGGCCATCCTTTTTCAACAAAATTGATCTTTTGAGTTTTTCTTGTTCATCAAACGGTTGACGAGAAAAAAATTAATATACTTATTAAGAGCCCGCCTTAAGCCGTTTTCTAACGATTTTTTATTTTTTAGATTAATTAGGAAACACCCTGTATATGCATATCACCGGCAACCAAATAAACTAGTAACCTCTAAAAATTATTTTTCCTACCACTAGCGACATACCGTGTTTTTAGTGAGTACTAAATTATTTTATCAAAATTTCACCATATAAGTTTCCAGGTAATGGTTATGTCCTAAGTTTGCGTCATTTGTTAAGACATTTAAAACGACTTATTTTATTTCGAAGAAAGGCATAGATAAATGCAACAAGTTTAGATTGGAAAGCCCGTAAAAATTTTAGGTCGCGAAATTATTTTGGGTCGCGACCGTTATATGCGATCTGGCGCTGCTATAGCGGTCGCTAAGAACAACATGAGAACAACGGCAAACAAAAACAGAAATAATTTTCCCTTATCAAAGTCAGAATCTTCAAAAATCATAAAATCTTTCAAAATCTAAACCGCTCTCATTAAAGAAATTCCGAAAAGTGTTTATAGCGTCCATTTTCAAAGTAATTATTGCTATCTTGTGAGTTTAATTCAAGTTTTATTTACTCCAACTGGTGATAATTGTGAAAAAGTGGCATTAAAATCTGAAAAAGCTGTGCTGTGAACTGTGAACTGCAAAAACTATCGTGGATCGTGGCATAACGTCGGTTTCCAATGTTTCATAGGTATTTTATACATGTCCTTATATGAAATAAAGTTTCTTGTATGCAACACACTCTATTTTATTTATAAAATTAAAAGAAAATAATAATAAATTTGAATAAACAATATTTGGCGATATAATTCCGGAAAAAGCCGAACATGAGCCGAACCGCTCCGAAATTTTCAAAAGTTTTGGGTCGCGACCGTTGCAAGAATAGCGCCAAATAGTGTTTACATTGTCCTTATGGGCACTTTCCAATCTAAACTTGTTTCATTTATCTATGAAGAAAGGATAACACTGAAAATAATAACATGAACAATGATATTCTGGTACGATTTTTGGAAGCATAAATTTCGACGCCCGGCCAGCTACACGGCTACAGGTGAATGCACCTTACGTGCCTTCAGAATGGATTGGTTGTAACTCAAAAAAATAAGCAGAGAACTGTGACGAATTTTGGATGCTGATGGTGTTACACATTATGTCAGCGACGTTGTCCACGAAGGCAACAATACTAAAGCAAAGGACCCAATTTTCTATAGCATATAGAATGTAGAATGATTAACAGGGGGAGATAAATCACCGCGAAGATCTATTGTTTCCCCATTTCTTGAGTTATAGCTCTGATGTTCATCCTCCGAGGGATCTACCTCCTACGAGGGTACCACCTTCCCACGGTTAGGGTTTAGCCCTCCGTACCTTTCACAGTCGAGGATCTGTCTCCATTTTCTCAACCTCTTTAACTTAGTCTCTCCTTAGACCTAATACCGGTGTTGTCCCGAATTTATAATAGAGGATATATCCTTCTTTCTCTGTTGCCTCCTTGGATTTGAGGTCAGTTACACCGCAAGTATTAGTCGGTCCACTTTTCAGGAGCCCCACATGTCTAAGGGAGAATAGAACGGGTTGCCCCCTGGTTGAGACCAGTAGGGGCTAGTGCCACGTGTTAGATTGATTTATCGAGAAAATATATCCTCTATCTAGCCACGCACTCCTTTGACCTGGTCCCGCCATCATAGGCTTTAGGTTTTTGGTGAGGTTGTCTCCTCTTGGTCCAGGCGGTTAAGTTAAGACCATCCCACATCCTCTGCCCGTGATATATGACCACAGAGAGTGGAGAGTGCCTGATATGACGGTAGTGTAGTCCTATTCGGCATCGTTATTCGTTTTGGTGCAATTCCCTGGCCACGACACTACAGCCACAAGACAGTGAGATGTTCCTTAGACCCAGCCGCCAAAGTGCTAGAGGGGATTCCCCCTAGCACCTGACCAGGAGCTTCGGCTCCCAAACCAAACAAAACAAAACGACAAGGCCTCGCATCTCTTAGAGGAGTTTCTATGGCATACCGATTGTTACGACAAACTTAAGTCATCTGGGATTTGCATAACAGGTTGCATAGACGGATTTTCACGTTACATTCTCTGGTTGAAAGCTGGTCCAAATATCAACGACCCATCATAATTGCTTATCATTTGAAGACTTTTGTATATATACTGGCGCAGAACGGAGTTCGATGGAAACTACTCGTAGAACAACGTACCACTATTGTCAGTAACTCTGAAATTGGTACAAAAAGTGTAAATTTATAGAAAAAGTGTAAATTTACTGAAAAAGTGTATTACAGTTGAGGGTTGGAACCTTTGGTGTTACAGAGCAAAATAAAAACCACGTTTCCCACGTACTTAGTTTCCCACTTTCCAATGAAAGATATAAAATAGAAAGAGATTACATTAGGAATGTAGCTGAGTGTAATGGATATTCTCCTTCACTAGTTGATAAATTAATTAGAAAACGTAGATATAGGTTAATGATTTCTGAAAATTCGACTTTTCAAGTGGAGAAAGATACGTCTAAATATTTTTCGATACCGTTTGATAGAGAGTTATCCCGTGGTCTAAAAGGAATTTTTAAGAATGTCAATTATAAACTTGTGTATAGTGCTAATAATAAATTACAATAATTATTAGGTAATCCAAAGAATAAAACACCTCCACTGGAAAGGTCGGGTATTTATGAAATTTCTTGTAAAGATTGTAATCAGAAATATGTTAGGCAAACTAGAAGATCAATATTAACTAGATTTAAAGAACATTTAGCTCAGATAAGATATGGTAGACCGGATAAATCTTGCGTTGCGGAACATATTGTTGATAAAGAACATTGTATAGATCTTAATAATTTAAGATTAATTAAACAAGTCTCAAATTACAGGCAATTAGATGCATATGAAAGCATCAGAATTAATAAATGTAAAGATAGTATGAACAGAGTCAACGGTCCAATTCCTTCAAGTTCTTTGTTCCTACTACTCTAGTGGCGGAAATCTAACTGTTACGCTCAGTTGGCTCTGACTCGGCTGGCTAGATTTTGCCACGCCCACTCGGTGCCCACTGAGCGAGTATATAAACGCTCAACTTGTAGATTGTACTTTAGTTTATAATCATCTGCTGATGATGCTAACATGGTTAGCGAAACGCGCGTCCAGTGTAAAAGTAAAAGTGTTTTGGTGTATTGTGGTGATTTAGTGTTTTTATTTTGCTGAAAAAGTGTAAATTTTGCTAAAAATATTTTTCAGTGTTGCAATGGCAGCAGAATTGAGTTCACTCAATCAGAAAGTTGCCCGAAAAAAAACAATCGTTGTGAGGCCCTTGTTATTGTCATTCCTGCCAATTTCTCTAACATTGTATTTATTGTGCTTATCTTATTATTATCTAGGCTTATCTTAGTATAAACACGTAAAATTCAAATTTGTAATGAAAATGGAAAATACAAACTATTACTCCACAGTTCTTGGTATTGTAATTTGTATTAAAAAAAAGGGGTGAAAAATTTAATTGCCATGATCGTGTAATAACTCAACAATATTATGAAAAAAAGTAGCACTCATAACCATATTGCTGATGCTAGACACATGGAGAAACATCAGTTTATGAAGAGTACACACGTCGTCAGTGCTAAGACGCAAGAAATCCTTCATTTTGTCTAATACGTTATTGTTGAATTGTTTTTTATTAAATGGACCGTGTTAACCAAAAATCGACATTTCGGGGAATTTTTCTTTCTGTCAATTTGTAATTCGGGGATATTTATTTTCGGGCACTCTTTTCGGGTTATTTTATTTTAAGTTAATTGTTTTCGAGTAAAGGTTGATTCTCACTATACCTTCCGTGTCCGCTACTTTCCGTTTCCTGTCCGTTTACATAAAACATTATATCATGTAAATGAATATGACAATGCACACTATCCGCTCCGTTTCCGTACCGTTTCCATGGTTACGTCTTATAGTGTGAATACAATCAAATTATACGAAAGGTATACGGAACAGATATGGAACGGAACCGGAAGGTATAGTGAAGTCAGCCTTAATTCTCCTAGATCCAATTTTGTGTAATTATTTCCAGAGATCATCACGAATTTTATACGCTTGACGGACAATCCCGCTAAATCGGTTTACCTGGAAATTGGATTCGATTGTGGAGTAGTTACGAGGGATCACGACTTAATCGAATTTGTGCTAAATTCAACGCAATTAATAAATAAATCATGGGATTATCAAATGTTCCACGACTGGTTAGGAACCGGTCTGGTTACGTCGGGAGGTAGGTATACTTATTAAATTAATCCAATAGTATAGCTGTCCATTTTGAAATAGTACCCAGTTACAACGAAATTGTTATACATACTGATATTTCGTTGATTTTTATTGCATAATTCACATGTCGCAAACGAAACGAAACGAACAGAACGGATTCCGTTTAGCGTGCCTAGCTTGAATTATGTATATTGTTACGGATTCCGTGGGTCCACTATTTAAACTCACGATAAAATACTTAACGAATTTATTTGTTTCACTCTGTACACACAACTTATACTATTTACAACACAACTTATGCAACTACTATTACTCTAACGGTATTTCGCGGTATTATTCAAACTTCAGACTATCTTCTTCAACTTTAAACTTTAAACTTAAACTTGTCCAACTGTCAAAGCGCGGGCCTTATATACCCCCTGGCGGTTGTTTCTAGATTTTTCTAAAGAATTCTATAATTTTCTTTACTTTCTGGCGAATGCGCCAGGTTCCTCAATGCAAGCCGCGACTATCCAGCAGTACGCAGTTATGCAACCAGTAATACACCTTGACAATATTATGTTACAGTGAAAGTCGGAAATTCAGTGATTGTTAACATTCACTAAGAAATTCTAGCAATTACGGATTGGACCAGTGAATGTGGTATTTTAAAGAGATTTGTCGACTTTTCCTAGTAATTTCTAACGTTCACTAGTGAAAGTAACATTTACTAAAGGTTGCCAGTAAAAGTTATTCTATTGTACAGGGTGAGTGTGGTGAGGAATAATGTTGGTGGAAGTTAGAACAAATAAAACTTAAGAATATTGAATCACCTCAATATTCCAGCTGATCCACATATTTTAAAATTACAATTTACTTATTTGGTGTATTTATTAAAACAGAAAATAACGACATAACCTTCTAAATATTAAAAGGGAAATCATAGTAAACATTTTAAAGCCTACAAAACAATTTAAAAAAAAAAACATTCATAAACAAAAGTTTACTTGTTGGTACAAGGGTTTTTTTTAATAAAGTTCTTCATCGTGGATAAAATGAGCATGCCCGAATTTTCTTCAGCGGGAGTTATTCGTTTTTTCAAAACCCGCCTGTTCAAAATATGGGTTCCTAAATATCTTTTTCTCTTGCACGCTTAACTTTTGCTATGTTATCATTATATTGCAAAAATGAAAAACAAGCACTATTACATTCTTGCGAGGGCCTTGTTTACCTTAATTTTTCACAGAAAAATTCTTCCATAGGGAAAATACCGCACAGCACTTTTTACAACAATAACAAAACAATTATACATAACCACAAAAAAATCAAAGCGAATTTAAGCCAGATGTCTGTCAACGCTGCCAACGTTTAACCCAATTTAATGTTACCTTTATATTGCCTATTATTAAACTTATCCTTATTCACCCTTATATTTTACAACATGTAGCAACCGCGCTAACTGAATCATTCAAACTCACTGCTATCGTCCAGGGAATGTTAGCATTCACTAGTAAAAGTTGGTTTAAAAAATAGCTGTTGAACTTTTACTGGCGCAAATCAGTGAATGTGAGCAAAAGCTTACCCACTTACTAGTAAAAACTCGCTTTACTTACTAGTAAAAACTAGTGATTGTTAACAATCACTGTTTTCCAACTTTTACTGTAACATACACACTGATATTTCGTTGATTTTTATCGCATAAATTTAAAATTTAGATTGAAAATATCGTCGATACATACCTTATTTAATAAAAAAATATGTATCCTAAGACATACCAAACAGTTTCTTTTACATCGTCCAAATTTGAAACTAGGGTACAATATACCGATCTGGTCATCGAAACTGCGTGGTCTGGATGTTAACAGCTTAATGACAGCTTAAATGAAAAATCAAATGTATAAAAAGAGACAAACGTTAGGTTGATAAATTTCCTCTATGCTATATTGCCGGATTTTGCATCAGAATTTCAAACCGCACAAAGAGGTATTTACGAAAAATGTTGTATCTAGGGTTCGATCTTTATTTTTCACATTTTTCTTTATTTCTTCACAAAATTACATACGTTATTTTATTTCTCGTACGAACCGGCAACACAATATGCCGTTTTTTATTTTGTCTCTCTGTCTATCAACTGGTCGTATATATTTATCTCTGCCGTATGCATTAAAGTGCAGACCACGGAAATAAAGTGACCAGGACTAGTATAGTTCGTCAATTAATATTTTTCATTACCAAAACCGCTGAATATAATTTACAGTATAACTGGGCACCTTATACAGGGTGTTAGAAAAACGGTGTACCTTCGGTGGGTAATTCTAGAGATAAAAATAAAAAAAGTTAAACGGTTTTATCTTATGTGCACTGAAAACTAGAAAATAATGATAACAATTAGGTATTTTGAACTTCTAGTTCAGAAATATTTTAGTACTAGGCAGAATAGCTTTTAGGCATATTAGACTAAAATAAAAACGTGGGGCCCCTCTGAAATCCTACCTATGGCAAAGCATATCTTTATACTTTAGTAGATCATGAGCTCGGCGTTCGCTGGTGAAGCCGCCACGGCTGGTTATTGATTGTCAAAATCTCCAATTACGATTATAGTAAGTCGATGCAATCCACACTTAGTATAGAAGAAAGTATTACAGCAATAGTTAATGGGCCCCACGTTTTTATTTTAGTCTAATATGCCTAAAAGCTATTCTGCATAGTACTAAAATATTTATGAACTAGAAGTTCAAAATACCTAATTGTTATTATTATTTTCTAGTTTTCAGTGCACATAAGATAAAACCGTTGAACTTAAAAGTTTTTTTACCGATTTTTTATTTTCTAGTTTTTAGTATTTAACGGAAATGCCTACCAAATATTCCTCTCATTCTATTTAATTCATTATTATATAAATTAATATATATAACAATTAATTATAACAATAAAATATAAATTGTAATAATTAATTATATTTAAAATACCTATTTGTTAATATTTTATTATTTATATTTATTTTAACATTGATTGATTTTATTATACAAGGTGTTTCTGATGTTATTAGCTCTCTTTGTCTCTCTCGTTGTGATGCCAGCCTAGACTCATGACGCTCAGATGTTTCTGACGCTAACAACTCTCTTTGTCTGTCACGTTGTGATGCTAGCCTGGACTCATGACGCTCAGGTGTTTCTGACGCTAACAACTCTCTCTTTGTCTTTCGCGTTCTGATGCTAGCCTAGACTAATGACGCTCAGGTGTTTCTGACGCTAACAACTCTCTTTGTCTCTCTCGTTGTGATGCCAGCCTAGACTCATGACGCTCAGATGTTTCTGCCGCTAACAACTCTCTCTGTCTATCACGTTGTGATGCTAGCCTGGACTCATGACGCTCAGGTGTTTCTGACTCTACCAGCTGCCTTTGTCTCTCACGTTGTGCTACCAACCTGGCATCATGTTGCTCAGGTGTTTCTGTTGCTAACCGTTCTCTTCGTTTCTGTAGTCGACTATAGATTTCATTTTCACTTTCTTTTGCATGTTTCGTTCTATACTTTTCTTTCGCCTTTTCGAGCCTTCTTTTTCGTTGTGTAGCAGTTTCGTTTTTATTTTTTGTTTGTTTTTTTATTTATTGTTTCCGTGTTGTTCCCACGAGTAATGGACATTTTAACGGTCGACCCCCCAGAGGTTCAGTAGAGGGGCAAGGCTATAATATACAACAAGAGGCGCCCAATCTTGAGGGGAAAACGCTTGCGACATTACATTTTTAGCCACCCTAATGCCATACAGTCCTCAGCACGTTTTAACCTATTACCTTAACTTGGGTTGTAAAGCTACCGCTAACTACGTAGGTACATCTAATCACCTATTTTTTTTTATCTGTCCTTCTAACGTCACACAATCTTGGACACAACTGTTCTGGACACGACTACTCATGCCCTCACGTAATACGCCATTTTGTAACGACGTCCATCTTGGATTTTAAATTTTGTCATAATCACAGTATTCTACTAGTGTAGCCCTTTCATTTGATACCCATTGAGGGGGTTGTGGAAAAATATGAAATCCGCCATTTTGTACCGGCGGCCATCTTAGATTTACAATGTTATTGATATTACTATATTGTATTGTCATCGGAACTAAAGGTGTGTACCAAATTTCAGATCAATCTGACAACAGGAAGGTACTTAAATTTCAATTTCTAATTTTGACCCTAATAAATAAATACCGTACGGGTCGAGCTTAATAAAACCGTTTAATAAAACAAAAGTTTTGTTTATTTTTAAAAACATTGGTAAACCGTTTTCTTGAAATTTGGTACTCTTACACATATTTTGATGCCAAAGCGAATGGCGATAATGTAAAATTCCTTAACAGCCCTGAAAGGGTATGTTCCATTAGGGTAGAAAGACTACTGGGGGTACATCTTTTATCCCTATAGATACAGTAATTTTAATAAATGAAAATTAAAACTTGGACTTTGCTTATGTAAAAAAGGTGCTCGTCGTTTAGTTTTCAAGATATTTGCGTTTAAAGTTGCGATTTATCGATTCTAGTATTAGCGAAATAAGAAGATTATTCTATTTAAAGTTTCTTTACATTTTATCATTTCACTAATACTAAAATCGATGCATCATAATCTTTAAATGCAAATATCTTGAAAACGAAGAGCATCTGTTTTCGTAAAAAAGCTATAGCTTTTTATATCATTTGTTGAAATTACTGTATCTGCAAGGAAAAAATAAGTACCACCAGTAGTACTCTCTATCGTAATGGAAAGTACGGAATTTTTCATAATCGCCATTCGCTTTGGCATTAAAATGTGTATAACAGTACCAAATTTCAGGAAAAACAGTTTATCAATGTTCTTAAAAAAAATCTTATATATTATTTTTATTTAACCTTTCGAGGGCTGTAACTTCTTCAGGAAGCATTTTAGGGCATATGTTCATAGGAACTTTGTGTTTTATTTTTATCTCTTAAATCACCTACCAAAGTTAGATATACTATTTTTTGACACCCTGTATAATCTCAGTCCTTGTGTAGGTCTGACTGCGCAGTTTATCTTGAGGAAAAACTGTTTGTGTAATGACTACCTTTAATATTATTAGACTAATTGTTTTAGGAACCAAATGGAAGAAAAGAAGACGCATTATAACTCCAGCTTTTCATTTCTCAATTCTGATACAATTTATTGAATCCTTTGACCAAAATGGGAAAAAACTCATTGAAATACTGAGTAACGAAGGTACCAAACCTGAAGGCATCGACATATACTCCTACATTACCAACTGCGCCCTTGACATTATTAGCGGTAAGTGTTAGAAATGGTGAGAGAAAACCTTCCAAGAGAGTAGTATTTTTTTAAAAAAGTTGAAAGTACCGCTAAAAAACCGTATCTTATTTAATTATCCAGAAATATTCTAGAAATAGCAACGGAAATTCTACGGCGACTCTGCGGGCACCTCAAAATTTTGATGTACCTATTTTAAAGTTTTATAATATATTGTGTTCTAGTGGACCAATTTGTAGCTAAATTATTTGACTTTTCAGTACCTCTTTCTAAATTATAAACGAAATTTCCCATCTGTTAATTATACGAGGGAAACAAAATGTTCAACTAAATCTAACAATATCAAACTTTCACTAAAATAGAAAGTTTAAAACATCCTGTGAGATATGTTAACAAAGCAAGCAACTTAAAAATTAGTTTATCATCTAGGTGCATCTTTTCCCGATAGCTTGATTTTTAGTTCATCTCAATAGCTATATTTTTTTTCAAGATATTCGCTTTTGATGAAAACACTAACATATTTTAGTATCATAATTTTTATATTAAAAACATGCCTTTGCTTTTGGTCCTAGTCAACAGACCTATGAAATAGTGTTTGTGATTTATGTAATGTCACTGTCATTGAAAAATCATATTATTGTTTGTTGGGCAGTTATTCAAGCCGAGAAAGTTTGAAGTCCGGAAATTGATCTCTACCAAATCCAATTAATGCAACAATAGTGGGTACAACTTGGACGTAAAACTTTCTCTGCTTGAGTGGCTCCCAACAAACAGTAACAATATAATTTTTCCCCTAATGAAAGTGACATTAGAAAAAAATAAACTCTATTTCATAGGTGTATTGATGAGGGCCAAAAGCAAAGGCATGCTGTTAATGATAAGAATGCTGTAAATAATTACTGTCTTCTTCAAAAGCGAATATCTTCAATAAAAATGAAGCTATTGAGATGAACGAAAAAACAACATATTGAGAAACGATGTACCTAGCTGATAACTTTTTTTAAATATTTTGTTTTGTTAACCTATTCCACTGGGTGTTTCAAAATTTCACCTAAATATCAAAATTTGTTTTCCTTCGTATAATTGACAGATGGCAACTTTCATTTTTAATTTAGAAACAGACACTTTAAAAAGCATCAAAATTTTAAATTAGGCGTCCGTTTTTCGTGAACGTGAGTTTACTTAGTATCCCTTACCCATGTAAACGGTGTCATTTGGACACAAAGTATTTGGACGGCTGTCATTTATATGCAAATATGGGTAATATTACGGATAATACGGGTAAGGGACGCAGGGTATAATGAGTACTTTCACATGACGGGATAGCACAAATTCGAACAATCAGTTTCAAGTTTCAAACTATTATTGATTTTATTTTTTACTTCATCGTTATTTCAGCATTATCGATAGGATATCAAATACATAAAGGATCTTATAATATCCATGGGCATTGTAAAATTCTTTATTACAGGACATTATGAAGTGTAACTGCCATTTAAAAAAATATTTCTGTAAACAAATTATGTGACACCTTGGCAATACAAAGCACTGACAACTTTGCACATTAAACTATCCCAAAACTGAAATAATAATCAAGTAATGAACCAAATCCTGTATGCATCTCAGGGTCCATAGTATAAGATAATGCACTTCGTGTAACAAGATAGTCAGTCTCTGAATGCCTAGGATGCATAAATATATTATGCATCCTAGGCATTAGAAAATTTAAAAAAATATATGGATTTGAAAAAGCTGCTCAATACCCCATCGCTTGAGATTTCTATTTTCTAATTCTAATTATTTCTATTAGTAACCGACCTTTATTTTTAAATACGAAATATACTATGAAACAAAATCAATATTTTAATTATAACATTCACAACTCTAATGATGAATTAAAAATCTACTAATTAAATCCAAACCAATATTCTAGAAATACCTAAATGTTTGTATATATTCCTACGATTCTATAATTATTTTCAGAAATTATGTGATCGCAACATAGATATGTAATGATTTTTAATTAACGAGTTTAAATATAATTAGAGGAAATATTCAATGAGAGGAAATATTAATTATATATAATTTCAGTTTAATAGATGTAGTGTGTAAAGCTTGATTTTCATGCATTCGTTTTTCGTTGATACGATGCTGATGGTACAACGACGGCTCTCTGATTAGTCATAGCGTTTTCGCGCCACTTTTCATCCGTAAATTGTTTACTCCAGCCCGTCAACGGAGAAAGATCGTACGATAACGGACATTTTGACACTTTTATGACAAATTTAATTTAACCTTAATAAAAATATACTAGTACAATAGCTAGCACCGTCGGGAAAACGAGAATTTTAAGAAAGCTGGTTCTTTAATACCGTATGATCGAAAAAAAAATGGCGTCCAGTTGGCTGGGAAATGACGATCGCTGACATTTCCCATATAATTTTACATATAAAATGACAGCGATCTTCATTTCATAGCCATCGCTGACGCAGTTTTTATTCGATCATACGGTATATCTTTTGGTACGCTCTCCTGTGCTCTCCTTCGACCAAAGTGCGGTCGTCTGGCTGCCGGTAGACTACTGCGGTTCACCACTGCGCATCACATCTGTACAGGGTATCCCATTTTTGTGTGTTTTATGGGATTTCTCGTTTATGAGTAGAGATACAATGATGCGATTTTCACATTACTTTACTACTTTATGAAACTAAATATGGTACACATAGGGTTGGCCTAGCCTCCTTAGTTCTTGAAATACAGGAAGAATTTGTGATGCGCAGTAGTAAACAGATGTTGAATACCAATATGATGCGCAGTAGTGAACGAAACGTCTACCGGCAAAAAAACGATCCGCACTCTGTTCAGGAGAGCATAGCAAAAGATATATTAAAAAACCAGCTTTCTTAAAAATCTCTCTCGAAAACGTTGCTAGCTCTTAGACTATAAGTAAATCAGCGAAATCTACGCCAAACTTTCTAAAACATAAAATAATTTTTCTTTGTTTTTTTTAAACGGAACACCCTGTATATTATTTTTTATTACGTGGCGAGTTAAAAAATGATTTTTTTTTGTATCTAATGGTTTCGCAGATACATGCAGTATTCATATGGTTCTTTCAACGGTAAAATATGAGAGAAAAATCATTGGGTGGCTTTGATAAAAATTTACCGTGGAAAATGCCATATGAAATATAAAACCGCGAATATCTGCGAAACCGTTAAAAATTTTGAGATACTCTAAATATAATAAATGTTCATTTTGTGAACATGTCCAACAGCAGCAATGGAGGTCATTCTAGACCTAACACCACTGCACATTGTCGTCGGTAGTTATGCCAATGCGACAATGATTAGAATGGTCATTGACGGAAACAGTACTGGGAGAATTTTCAGGTCAGGGGCTTGGAACACCCTCAAAAAGAAAATTCCACTTCTCCAACTCCCAGTGGATAACGTACCAAGAATTTACAACTTTGAGAAACACCTCACTGTAGTATTGAGTAATAAAAAGGATTGGAAGGAAGAAACGCTTACTCAGCATATAAAAGACCATATCATAACATGGTATACTGATGCTTCCAAAATCAAAGCAGGGACAGGGATAGGAGTATTTGGGCCGAAAACTAAATACTCCAACACACAGACCACTCAACACACTCACAACCAAGGGGCACCTACCCCAGTATCCTTCAGGCAGCCATTTACGCTATCGAAAGATGCGTACAATTTATCTTGGATAGGAACTATCGAAAACAGGAAATTGTCATCCTATCCGATAGTCAAGCAACACTAAACGTGATCAACTCAGTAACCACCAATTCGAAGTTATAACTCAACAAATTAGACAAAGAAAATAAAGTCCTTCTACCTCCTACTCTGGGTGCCTGCTCACCAAGGGATAGATGGCAATGAAAAAGCAAATGATCTAGCTAGGAAAGAAGCGAACACTCCACTAACTGGACCAGAATCGTTCTGTTTTCCAAACGGGAACCAACTGAAAGCGGAACTGAAGAATCTGGAAGATTCCATCCGTAACTTGGAATGTGTGTTCTCCAACGGTCTAAGACACTCGCAAAAGTTCCTCAGAACTTACGACCGAGAAAAATCAAAGGTTTTCCTTGATTTAAGTAAAAACAATCTTCGGATTGTCACGGGGTTCCTAACAGGACACTGTCTCCTCAACGAACACCTCAGTAGGCTGAAGCTGAGAAACAACGGCGAATGCAGATTCTGTGGGGAAAATGGGGAAACACCAGAACACCTTATCACTGAGTGCGCCGAAACAACAACCATTCGTGCCATGAACTTTGGTACGGCTGATGTCGAGGATGGAGAGCTGGCATCTGTGGAGCCGTCTCAGATGCTGGCTTTTGTTAAAGCCCTGAAACTGTATGAAGAGTTATAACTAGTTATAGCTCAAGAAAGGTGAACACACAATAGATCTGTAAGGTCGCGGTGATTAACCCCCCTCCTAAACATTCTTATTCTACATGTTCATTTTTAATAAAATCTATTTGAAAAAATAATTCTACAGTATGTTCTGTTAAAAAAAACGAAGAAAAATTATTTTATATTTTAGAAAGTTTGGCGTAGAATTTTGAACATCCTGGGGAACACGATTTGGCTATACTTGGAATATTAATATTAAGAATAGTATACAAAATATATTTAGATCTGAACAATTAATATTCGCAATAGTTTAATGCTAGATGTAATTTAAATATAGAAAGTGCCATGGGTGTATCAGTCAAAAGTCAAGAAAACCAAAACAAGGAATACGTTGATGGAGTAAAGAACCTACTCTCCTCCATTCTGGACCGCTCCTTTAGTCTCTGGAAAGTCAATCCATATTTGTTTCCGCTGACTTCCGACTACTGGTATCAAAGGAAAATAGTTAAAAGCCTTCATAGATTCACCGACACTGTTATTGAAAACCGAGTTAAAAGTTTGCAAGAAAAAACTGAAAAAAATGTGGAACAAGACGTGGACGATGTGGGCAAAAAGAAAAAGCTGGCTTTTCTTGATCTGCTGCTTAATTCATCGATAGACGGAAAACCGTTGACCAAAGAAGATATTCGTGAAGAAGTTGATACATTTATGTTTGAGGTAGTTATGTTGACCATCATCATCATCATTTTCAGCTTATTCAACCATTTCCAATTATGGTGTAGCCTCCCTCACATATTTAGATACTCTCTTTGCAGTTGGCTCAGTTTTGATCTTATTCTAGGTCTCTTAATTCCTCGTGGGTACCATGTTGTAATTTTTGTGGTCCATCTGTTGTCCGTTCTTCTTACCAGGTATCCTGCCCATTGCCATTTGAGGGATTCAACTCTGTGGATGACATCTTATACCTGGGTCTTTTTTCGTATCCACTATTCTTTTACGGTATCTCTTAGTTATTCTCAGCATATTTCGTTCCATTGAACATTATGCGACCTGCAATTTCCTTATGATGTCCATTTTAAGTGTCCTGGTTTCGCATGCATAAGTCATGACTGGTAGCATACACCGATCGAATGTTTTCTTCTTTAGTTAGAGTGACATTCTAGATTTGAATATGACTGAGTTCCTTCCAGAAATACTCCATGCTAACTTAATTCTTCTGTTGATTTCTGGTAGAAGGGATTCCGAGCTGTGTATTTGGTGTCCCAAATATATATATATATATATATATATATATATATATATATATATATATATATATATATATATATATATATATATATATATATATATATATATATATATATATATATATATATATATATTCTTCTACTATTTCCACTGTTGTGTTATTTATTAGAATGTCTTTTCTTTCCATTCGTGGTACATTACTTTAGTTTTTGCTAAATTTATTTTGAGACAAACTTTATTGCTGGCTGTATTTAGTTCATTAATTTGTGCTTGTAGTTCTTCAGGACTATTGCCAATTAGGACTATGTTATCGCGAATCTTAAGTTAAGATATTCTTCATCTAATTTTAATCCTTTGTTAGTCCAGTCCAGTTGACGAGAGATTTCTTCTACCGTCGCTGTAAGCAGCTTTGGGGAAATCCCGTCTCCCTCTCGTATTACTGTGCCAGTTGGGAACTCTGGGGTTGTTTTATGTATCAATACTCTCGCTTTGGCTTGTTTGTTGGCGAGAGTTTCTATATAAGACCTGTTAATACCTTGTTTCGCTAGAGCTATGCGTCATGTTCGACATTTTCTATCGTGTCGGGTATTAATTGTTGAATATTATATGTATAATTTATTTCATTCCTACAATGTCTTTTCTTTTGACATATTTTATATTTAAATGAAAAATATTCTGATTTCTTAACTTTATCATATTGTTTCTTTCTTTTGACTGTATAATGCACCTTGGATTTTATCAACATCATTTTTACTTAATCGCCTTTTCAATTAATTTTATTTATACATAAGGAAATCTGACACTACAACAATAAAAAACAGTATTCTCTCGTCCATGTCTTTTATATCATGATCATTTCTGGCATTAATAGAAATTTACAAATTTCACAGAAGTTTTACGCTTTCTTCAATTGTCCCAAAAACTGACAAGCCACACTTCTGACCTCTTATTTCATCACGTCCTCCTTGGTTTCCTTTTACCTTTATATGACATCACAAGCAAAACTTAAATTATCGAAAAATTAAAACTTCCATTACAGTCAGATGTTTAATATTGAAGACTCTGTTTTGAAGATTTTGGATATTTTTAATAGAAATATATGTTTAATAAATTTAATAGCATAACAATTATTTTACTAAATTTTTCATATTTTCACTTAAAACATCAAAACCCGCAATTGAGTGAATTATAAATAAATATCTAATAATTACTTGATAATATACTAATAATAATTACTATACATATTTCCAAATTTTGATTTTTTTACTACTTTTTTATTGGGTTTTATGATGTACACAAGGTAGTATTTCCTTAGATTCATATTTCGATCATGATTAGATATTCAATTGTTCATTTTTTGTAATATATTTTATACTACCGTTGATTGTAAGAATTGGGAAGATACGCAAATGGGCGAATTCGTGACAAGGCTGACTTGATTTCCTCTCAAATGCTGTACGGAGGAGACACCAGTCGCTCTGCCGTCAACGTATAAAACACTTATTTTCTCTAATTTTGCCAGCGAAGGCATATCGAAGACGGTATGGATCTAACAGCGACAGTGTTGCCATATTAAAATGTGTAATATCTGTACTACGTGAATACTGAAATCATACTTACTGGAGAGAGTCCTATATGCGGTGAACGGCTTTTTTGTTGATGCTTAATCATGAACAATTTTGAATTTTAAAATTTTGATCATCTCACACACTGGTCAAAGGTCAAGTATTTAATATTTTATAACTCTTAAAATTATATCTATTTACTGCTTACTGTTCTGCAATTGTCCATGTATGGTCTGTTTGTAATTTTATTGACTTAATTTTTTTTTTAATTGTGTATTTTTTGTTGTTTGTATATTTTTTTGTGCTTTTGTTTGTTTTGTGAGTGCATTGTCGGTGAAGCTGTTTTGGCTTTTTGCACAATAAAACGTTGTTTGTTGCTGTTGTTCGACAAATATATCTTTGGATGAAAAATACGCGTTTATGTATTGAAAATTTATTCGTGTTAAACATAGAATAAACAACAAAAATAAAAATTCTTTTATAGGTACTGAATATGTTGTATGATCGAAAAAAAGTCGTTTACTTGGCTTGAAAATGACGAATTATGGACATTTAACATAATATTTTACATATGAAATAACAGCGATCTTCGTTTCCAAGCCAACTCTGACACCGTTCTTTGTTTAATCCTGTTTAATCATATAATATTATATTAAATTGTTTGATGATAGAAAAGTCGTATTATTAACGCACTATAACCAAAATCCGTAAATCTACGGATTAATCCGTAGTTCAGCACTGTCTCCGTCAACCACTTACTCTGTGGATTGAAGCAGAACTGCGGTACAGTATTCTTTATCCGCTGCGCTGCAAACGACTATCAGCGCGCAGCGGCACAGAGCTAAACTAAATCTCGGAATTCTCGGATAGGCTGACGATAACGTCAGCTACATGTCGTACAGGTTTTGTACCATGAAATCGCCATAAGGTTGCGCATCTTCTTATTTCTTCAATCAACGATACTCGGATACTATATTTCATACTTTTAAAGCGGCCCTTTATATGAGTATAATATTAAGAATATTATATATGGTTTATTTCTAGGGACATGATACAACATCGTTTGCCATATCTATGGGTCTTTATTTGTTGGCAAAGCATCCCACTGTCCAGGTATATATTTTCTTTTTTTAGCAACACACTTGCACACAGTGGAATAACTTGAACACTTCACAATTCATTGAGTTCAAGATTAAAGTATTTAACAAATGAATTATACCTGTTTGAATAAACTAGTTCCTATAGTACAACTTCTATATTTTACTTTGTACTTAATCAAATTTACAATCATAAAGAAAAATATTCTAAAATTATTAATGTTTCAGACCACGACAAGAAACGAACTTAATGAGATTTTTGGAAATGATAAATCTAAACCGACGACGATAGAAGATCTAAACAATATGAAGTATTTGGAGTTGGTAATAAAGGAAATAATAAGATTATATCCTTCTGTACCGTACATTCTTAGAGAAATTACTAAAGATACAGAATACAAAGGTATAATACGACTAATTTTACACAATCCTATGTTGACGGATAATCTGTTTCAAGGGCATACGTTACCAAAAGGTACATCAATAGGCATGTATATTTATGGAATCAATAGAGATCCCACATACCATAAAGACCCTGAAGCATTCATACCTGAACGCCACCTGGATACAAGTAGTAAAAATCATTTTGCATATATTCCTTTCAGTGCAGGACCCAGAAATTGTATTGGTAAGAATATAGTTTTACTCATAACGTTAAAAACAGTTTTTGGCCTTAAAATTCGAGTCGTTTTGGTGGATGTTGTTCATTCCTTAAGACTTTCTCTTGATATATCAGCCTAACCAGATAAACTAGATGTTGCCTCGCGCGTTTTACTTATGTGCCATAGATTGTTACTTGTTATAAACGACTGCATCTGATCCACAAGCTTCAAATACATACAGACCGGACCACCGTAGTAGTAACATAGGTAGAACCGGACGAATTAGCGTATACCCCTCCGCCGGATAAAAAACAGGCGAAAAAATGCGATAAAATAAAAAGAGGTAGATATGTGATAAGAATGTTTCAGAATTTGTATTTATTCGTGTTTTAATAGCCAAAACTAATACATAGATTCTCGCGACAGTTCTCGTGTAAAATTTATTTTTTAAGTAAAATAATGGATGTTTACGAAGTTCGTGAGAAAATTCAAATTGTAAAATGGTATTTCTAAAATAGGTCTTATCGGGATATACAAACAATTTTTCCACAAACTTTTGTAAACAGGCCAATTCCATCTTTACCTACTGTATCAAGTGTTATTAATAATTTTGAAACATATGGATGCGTGTTCCCACAAAAACACAAAAAGCCTGATGTGTTGATTAATGAAGAACAGGAGTTAAAGCAAGTGTTCATTTGTGCTACCGCGGATCAAAATACCACGTTTTCAAGTAATCTAATTGCTGAGGTGGTTGTCCTGCCCACAATGCCTGTATTGTTCAAGAATATTGGAAGACACTCTTTTGTGGCCCGCTAGATCACCAGATCTTTCTCCTAATGACTTATTTTTGTGGGGTTATGTAAAATCCAAAGTGTATGGTCATAATAGGGCTAATAATCTGGATGAGCTTCAAGTAAAAATACGAGAGGCTTTCCAAACTATTAGCCCTAATAAGTTAGCCAATGTCAGACGGGGATTTTACGACCGCTTAGGTTTCTGTCTAGCACAAAAAGATGGTCTTTTTGAACACTTGTTATAACTTTTTTTATTTAGAGTAATATTTTAGTATTTTTTGGGTTTAGAGAATTTATTTAATTTTAGTTTTGGCTTGTAAACACACTCAAATAATAAATATTTAAGTATTTTCATTTTAAATGTTACCTTAAGTGAAGGTAAACACTTAAAATGAAAATAATAAATACTCGGCACTCCTCGAGTCGTATTCCTAGTCTGTCATGACCGAGCCGTCCAAGCACAACTGCAACTGCGTACCTACTGCCTGATCAGCCGACTAGCCGGCAGTGAATCTCGAGTACGAACGCAAAACGTGTAAACGTAAATTCGTCCGGCAACTTGCTATGTTACTAGTAGGCTGGTCTTCTCTGTATAGTCTTCAATAAATGATGTACTGTCTGTCTCCACAACAACTGTTCACTATGTGTGCATATTTGAACTTCTCCTTATTTCCGTCTGTCTGTCAGCCCGTGTGCCGGTCTGTCCTTTTACTAAGGAAAATCTTTGATTTTTCTCGGCCGTAAGTTCTGAGGAACTTTTTCGAGTGGCTTAGACTGTTGGAGGACACTCATTCCAGGTTACGGATGGAGTCTTTCAGGTTCTTCAGTTCCGCTTTCAGTTGGGTCTTATTCAAAATCTGGGTAAGCTATTTTGTCCTAAGCTAATTAACTCTTAGGGTGTTACAACTGTTTTTCCAAGCTGAACTACTTATTCCAGAAGTGCTACTTAGAGGTTGTTTTGTGGTGTTAACTAGACTGTGTCTTTGTTGAGTGGTGGGTTCTTGCAGAAGTAGCTATATCTTCACATGGTCTTCTGTTACTTTTGGGAGTGTGCAGTACTCAACTTTCTAACCATTTTCCCTTAGTAAATTAATCTTTTTTCAGTAAATGGTAGAACCGTTATTGGCGACAAAACCCATAGAAAATTACCATTAAAATTGAAATAGATTTTATAATTTTTAGGTTTAGAATTAATAATATAATAATATATTGCTTTTGTAGGTCAAAAATTCGCAATGTTGGAAATGAAATCCTTGATCTCAAAAATACTTCGAAATTTTGAGTTGTTACCTGATCCATCCTACGAACCTGTATTAGCAATGAACGCTGTATTCAAAACGTTAAATGGAGTAAGAATAAAGCTTCAGAAATTGTAAACCTGTTTGTAATATACCAATAAATAAAATATACCAAAAATAAATAATTATTAACAGATTAATTTAATTTCTTGTTGATATTAATACTTCTGTAATCCAATTAATTAAAGATTTTTTTCCACATTAATGCATTTTTCAGAAATTTATGTTTTTATGCGATAAAAATTTACATAGATTTTAACTATATGGAAATATAAATTTATAAAAAATGAATCAATGCCGAAACTTTTATAATTATTATCTTTTGCTATGCAAGTGTTATTTTTAGGGATGAAACAAACTGGGCTTGCCTAGCCTTGGCTAGCGTAAGATCTACAAAACATGATCAAAAACAGTACCAGACTTACATGTTATTACTTATGTTATTGACTTCTTCCTCTGAGTGTACCTATCCTGTTCAAACTTTACTGACTGCAGCTCTAAATAATCCTCCTGTAGGCAGGGAAAACCAAGTTCTGAGATCTGAGATTAACCTTGAAATTCTGCGCCTGCGGTCTTCTTTTGCCTAAGACTTTTCCCCTGGAGTATAAACTGAAGTAAACCCTATCCTTTTTGGTTCCTCATTATGCGTCCTAGATATTCCAATTTTCGTTGTTTGATAATGTCCACTATTTCGTTCTCCTTTTCAAGTATTTCCAAAACGGTCTTGTTGGATACGTAGTCTACCCAGGAGATTCTAAGAAATCGTCTGTATAGCCACATCTCAAAGGCTTCAAGTTTCTTTGTGGACGCTTCTGTCAATGTCCAGGACTCGGCACCATACAGGAGCACAGATCTAACACCTGAGTAGTCATACATATTGACTATTGCGTGAAATTATAGTGTATAGAAAATAGAGGAGCATCAACACATTATTAATATTAAGGTAGACTACCTCAGTTTTTATAGTTGGGCTCATTGTTCTATTGGTGGCTATGCGTGCCCAAGTTATCCCTACTAATTTCCTAATATCATGGTCCCATCTTAGGTTGGGTCTTCCTCTAAAGTCTCTTAATTCCTCGTGGGTACAATGCTGTCATTTTTGTGATCCATCTGTTGTCCGTTCTTCTTGCCAGGTGTCCTGCCCATTGCTATTTGAGGGATTTGACTCTGTGGATGACATCTATTACCTGGGTCTTCTTTCGTATCCACTCTATTCTTTTACGATCTCTCTTGGTTATTCCCATATCTCGCACCATTGTGCGTTGTGCGACCTGCAGTTTCCTTACGATGTCCGTTTTAAGTGTCCAGGTTTCGCATGCATGTTTCATTGGTAGTACACATTCGTCGAATGTTTTCTTCTTTAGATAGAGTGGTATTCTAGATTTGAATATGATTGAGTTTCTTCCATAAGTACTCCATGCTAACTTAATTCTTCTGGTGAGTTCGTTCTAGTAGTAGTAGAGATCCCGACCTGTGTGTTAGTTGTCAAACCCAAATACATATACACACAGGTCGGGATCTCTACTACTAGAACGAACTCACCAGAAGAATTATTTATATATATATTCTTCTACTATTTCCAGTGTTTTGTTATTTATTAGAATGTCTTTTCTTTCCACTAGTTCGTTATACATTATTTTAGTTTTTTCTAAATTAATTTTGAGACCTACTTTATTGCTGGCTGTATTTGTATAACTACAAAGAAAGTATGTGAGGGAGGCTACACCATAATTGGAAATGGTTGAATAAGCTGAGAATGGTGACGATGATGAACTCAGTTTTTACAAAACGCTTTGGGTTTAATTAAATTTTCAATGTCACTTAGTATACCTGTTGCAAAATTGAACAAAAAGAGGAAAAATTGGAAAAATAGAAAAACTAATGAAAAATAAATATGCCAGGGCACTCAAACGACTTACCCCTTTTTGCCCATACTCTTCGGATGCCCGTAACGTTTTTGAGAAAAATAAACACAAGAAAAATGATCAGTATTTAAGTTCTGCACTAGTATTTCCGTCTCTACACACCGTCCGAATGTGTTCTTCTCCTGGTTGTACGCGCACTTAGACCGCGCGCACTGGGCAATAGAGAAACCATCTGAGTACGAGTTTGAATTTTGAAAGGAAGTTGAATTTAATTTAACGATTTATGCGATCATTCTTAACCAAACAGTTATAACAATCGAATACTGTAAATAAAGAGAAATAAACAAAAATAAACTATTTATTTTTGCACATCATTTATATTGTACTAATAATTAATAAGTATTGTAATCCCAAACCCAATTAAAAAAACCAAAAAAAAAATGAGATGCGTGAACAATACCTATAATATAAACCAGTTGGTGTCCATTTCTGTTAACATAGTGGCTCCTGTAGTCGGAAAATATTGTGCCAAAATAACACACATCAAAATATTCTTGATCTAAACGTAGCGTTCGTAAGTATGGTAAGAGATGAGCTTCCACAATTTCCTCAATTTAGCGTTGGGCTATCATATTACCTCGAACAAATACTAGAGGCGACCTGCTACCATATGCGATTGCTCCCCAAACCATAACTCCTACAACTTGGTTTACCTGCCCCTAAAGACCGTATTCGTCGGTAAACAGTTCGCATCGTGATGAGTCTTCCGTGTTGCGTAAACTATTGGTTAGCAATTGCTCGGGAAATTGCCGAACTATCTGACAGCTAAATACCTTAAACGGCGATCGTGACCCTCAGTGGTTAATCTTAGACGCCCTGTACACCTGGCACGATGTTCACGGTGTTGCTGAAAGTAAGCTCTACAACAATTGGCAACAGTGCAAACACTTCTATGGACCCTATCAGCAATCTCTCGAAATGATAATCCTGCCTCCAGCAAACCTACAATCCGACCCCTATCAAAATCACTGAGTTGTCTAAAATTGGCACGTCTACGTATTCTAGGCATTATAATAAACTCAGAAGAACAATCTGTAGCAGAATAAGTAACAAACTGTAACTAAAGGGGAACTTTATAACTAATTAATTAATAAAATGTTTACATAATCCTCCATTCACAGCCAAATGATTGTAAAATTCACGCCTTAGAATACAAAACTGTTAAAGGGAGAATCTTCAGCATTCCACAGAGATGTCGTTTTCAGTTTATCTAAATTTCTGTTTTAATATGTCCATAAAAACGGTTTTTGGGTGTGCTCCACAGGAAAAAGTCGTTCGGCGTAAAGATCATGTGATATTTTCCTACTGTATCCCCAATAGACGAGAATCAATGTTTTTCTTTTCTTCAACATGAAGAATATTCAAGTCACTGTTATTTTATTCCTGTTCAATTATTTTTGTCTTTACAATTTCATGTGCTTAATACCACGCATTTAGTGGTTTATTCTTTAAACTGTTGATTTATTAGCTATAGGCTTTCCGGAGACTGAGCTGCGAACATATTATCTAATACAGCGGGAATACTATTTCCAGCAAAATGCCGTTTAATCATCGTAACTTTTTAGCAGTTGCACAAATCATGATTATTTTATGCAAAATTACTCTATTTGGTACCTGCCTTCAAATTTTTGTAGGCAAAATGTAACATCGTTTTTTTTATAATAACACAATCACATTTTTGCGGGTATTATTTTAATTGTAGCTTTTTCTGGACCGTATTATAAATTTTACTAATTTGAAGATAGATTTTTGCAAATAACTTTTAAATAACTATTCCAAACATAACGAAATTCTAGACAAAAGTACAACTTTAACGCCTCTTCAAAAAAGTCTCATAAAAATTTAGCATAAAATTATCTGAGGAAATAATATTTGACCTTTACAAAATTTACATGGGATTTCCTATTTCCCGTGTTCTGAGACCACCACACGGTATATAAAATGGATCATGTTATTATCTTCTAGTATATTTTTAATTAATAATTATAAAGATATATTTTAAAGTCAATTCAAATATTCTCGAATTTACTAACAACCTAACCACACTCGAAATAAAACAAAAGATCGTAAAAATATAAAGTAAAATATACACATCAAAGTTATTTGAAAAGCTATCATTAGAGTTCTTAATTATCTCCTTATCATTTCGAGAACATTAGTGAGCTTGTTAATACAGCTCAATTTATTTGTATTTAGAGGTTTCGCAGCAGAAGTAAAATGTAAAAAGGTCTGAAAGTCTCATTAGTTTAATGCCTTTATTAACAGTATATAATCCGCGTAAATTTAATCGAAATGGAAAAAATTCTGGAAATCCTATTTTTATATTTCATATTAAAAAATATTACATGTGAGTTAAAGGCACCCGAAACCAGAAAATGTCTTTCAGATAAAGACTACGAAGTTTACGAGAATCATTTATATCTAGTTAGTTCTATAGAAGTAACTAATATTAAACATAATTCAGAAAATAACACTAACTCGTCAATAAAATATTGTAATATACCAAATTTTAATAAACTACGTAAAAAAGTCATTTTTAAAGAATGGCGAATGAAGAAAAAAGGAAAGCAAAATAATTTTCATAAAAGAATTAACAAAATTAATATTGTAAAAGTTAACAGTACACAAAAACAAGAAGGATGTTCATTTACAGAATCCTGTTACAATATAGAAAAAGCAAATATCCTTATTGGAGATGATCCTACAGTGTTTTATGAATATTTCTTCCAGAAAAGTATTGATATATCAAGTATAACCTTTAGACAAATCCACATAATATTGTTTAGCTACGAAAACATAAAAACACAAGAAATATCTAGATTGCTTTGGCATCTATGGAACGACTTCCAAATACTCAATGTAGTAGCTCAAAGAATTTGCACAGAGAAATATATAAATTCAATTTTTGTATATAAACCGTTTGCAGTGAATAAAAACGGTCATGGGCAAGTTGAAATTCACTCTGTGTCAAATGTCCTAAAAAATCCTTCCTCGATACAGAACGATAACAGAAATTTAAATATGTATCCTTTGAGAGTATCGATATTTGAAAGATATCCAACTTCGACAAAAGATATACCTAGTAAAATGGTAAATACAAGAATATATAACCGTATACCTTATACATCAGGATACTATGGATACGATGGGGTAACCATGTCGGAATTATCACGGTATGGTAATTTTGCCATAGATGCGTCTATGGATTTAAACAACGCCT